GTGTGTGTGTGTGTGTGTGTGTGTGTGTGTGTGTGTGTGTGTGTGTGTGTGTGTGTGTGTGTGTGTGTGAGAGAGAGAGAGAGAGAGAGAGATTCCTCCCCCGCCCCACCCCTCTCCTCCTTTCCCTCCTTCCACTTTTCGTACCCGCCTCCCGTGCGTTCGTTAACTCCCTCTCCCCGTTTCCTGCCATTCCTTCTCCTGCTCCTCCTCCTGCTCCTCCTCCCGCTCCTCCCGCTCCTCCTCCTCCTCCTCCTCCTCCCAATCCTCCTCCCACTCCTCTTCCTCCTCCTCCTGCTCCTTCTCTCGCTCGATAGAGAGAGAGAGAGTGAGAGAGAGAGAGAGAAAGAGAGAGAGTGCATCCTTGTCCACTCCTCCCCCGTCCCACCCCTCTCCTCTGTTCCCTCCATCCTCTTTTCGTACCCTCCTCCTGCACATTCGTTAACTCCCCCTCCCCGTTTCCCGCCGTTCCTTCTCCTGCTCCTCCTCGTGCTCCTCCTCCCGCTCCTCCCGCTCCTTCTCTTCCTCCTCCTCCCCCTCCTCCTCCCTCTCCTTCTCCCGCTCCTTCTCCCGTACCTCCTCCTGCTCCTCGTCTGCTCGTCCTCCTTCTCCCACTCCTCCCGGGCCTCCTCCCGCTCCTTCTCCCGCTCCTCCCGCTCCCTCTCCCGCTGCTTCTCCCGCCACCTTTTGCTTTTTTTCCCCCCAATCAATCAATCAATCAATCGATTGGTTGATTGATTGATTGATTGATTGAAAAACAAAAACAAAAAAGGAGGATGGGGCGATCTTTTTTTTTTTCCGATCGATCAATCAACCAACCCACTCCCATGCCTCCCGTCAACCCTCCACCCGCCCAATTTTTCCAAACAGAAAACGGAAAATCACGTAATCAATCAATCAATTTATCAATCAAATTTATTTACTTATTGATTGATTGATCGACTGGGTGTGTGTGTGTGTGTGTGTGTGTGTGTGTGTGTGAGAGAGAGAGAGAGAGAGAGAGAGAGAGAGAGGGAGTCCCGTCCACCCCTTCCCCCCCCACCCCTTTCCTCCCTTCCCTCCCTGCGCTTTCCCTACCCGCCTCCCGCGCGTTCGTTAACCCCCTCCCCGTTCCCCTCTCGCTCCTCCTCTCACTCCTCCTCCTACTCCTTCTCCTGGTCCTCCTCCCGTGCCTCCTCCGCCCCTTCCCATTTCCCCTCGCGCTCCTTCTCCCACTCCTAACCCCCTCCCCGTTTCCCCTGCCATTCCTCCTCCCGCTCTTTCTCCCGCTCCTTCTCCCACTCCTTCTCCCATGCCTCCTCCGCCCCTTCCCGTTTCCCCTCCCGCTCCTTCTCCCGCTCCTTCTCCTGCTCCTCCTCCCGCTGCTCCTCCCGCTCCTCCTCTTTCTCCCGCTCCTTCTCCCACTCCTTCTCCCACTCCTTCTCCCGCTAATTCTCCCATTCCTCCTGCTCCTCCTCCGCCAAACAACGTGACAAAGATCCCGCCATAGCCATCTCGTACGAAAAAAAAGAAAAAAGGCCCGCCACGTGGCTAGCCACAGAGAGAGAGAGACTCCCGCTGCTCCTCCACCACAACTTCGTCCTCCTCCCGCTCTTTCTCCTGCTCCCGCTCCTTTTTCCGCTCCTCCCCCCGCTCCTCCTCCCTCTCCTTCTCCCGCTCCCCCTCCTGCTGCTCCTCCCACTCCTCCTCTTTCTCCCACTGCTTCTCCTGCTCTTCCCCCTGTTCCTCCTCCCGCTCCTTCTCCCGCTTCTCCTCCCGCTCCTTCTCCTGCCCCTCCTCCCACTCCTTCTCCCGATTCTCCTCCTCCTCCTGTACCTCCTCCCACTCCTCCTACCTGCCGCGCGTTGATCCGTCTCTGCACGTATGTGGGCCCGCCTCTCTACCGATTTCCTAGTGCTGCGCTTTGGCCCTGCTTCGCACCCGCCAATGGACCGCCGCCGGTCACAGCCGAGTTTTGGTTGGGCAAGGCCTTGCCCCACATTTTTTTGGGTGAGCGCCACAGGAGTCGGGGTCTCACGCGATTTGGCCTGCCTGGTGGGCCCGTCGGTTCGGGCCTGGCGCGTTCCCAACACAGGAATCGGGGTCTCGTAGGATGGTTACGCGAGACCCGCTCCTTGCTTTAAGAGTATTGGGGATGCATACGAATGAGCATTATTACGAACAAACAAAATATAAGTTGAAGATCTAAGAAGAAATAAACAGGAATATATACTTTTGGCTTGCTGTCCCTCCTTTCATAGGCAAGGAAGATGAGCAATAGCGAACTTCAGCAATCAAACAGCATCATACACATGAGACCAGATAGTCGTCACCTCGAACCAATAGCAGAATTGCA